CCTCCGCCTCCTCCTCCTCCTCCTCCTCCTCCTCCTCCTCCTTCTTCTTTTGGTTTCTATTGTTCTTGTTTTTGTTTAAGCAGGGTTCTTTTTTTTTTTTTTAGCTTTGGAGTCTATCCTGGTACTCGCTCTGTAGACCAGGCTGGCCTTTGCCTCCCGACGGCTAGGATTAAAGGTGTGCACAACCACTGCCAGGCCCCCAGCTTTCATTTATTCTTCCTGAATGTTGACCTGGCAAGCAGAGAGCTATTCTAGAGCTGATTGGTTATGAGTGTGAACTTGACTCAAGAGATCTCTGACGGGGGATGTGGGAAGTGCGCTCCCTATGTCTAAAAGGTCAGAGTTCAGCTTGTCTGCAGCAGGTGAGCCATCAGGTGTGTGAGTGGAAGAAGGGGTTTGAATTGGCGAGTGTGCAAGAGCTGCTGTGAACATAGACATTAATGTGCTCCTGTGTGAGAGAGAGCTGATGTGTGGCTGTGCAAGTGCATGAGTGTGAGACTCAGTGTATGTGAGTTAGCACATATGTAAGAGTGTGAGAATTTGTGTATGTGGAATGTATATGAGTCTCTCTGTGTGAGAGGTGTGTGTGTGTGTGTGTGTGTGTGTGTGTGTGTGTGTGTGTGAATGTGAGTTCTGTGAGTGTGACTTGTGTGAGTCTGTGTGTGAGCATGACTGTGAGAGTTAGTGTGTGGATATGAGTATGACCTGTGTGAGGGCATAGTCATATGGGTAACTGAATGAAGGGGATATTTTTTTTTTAAGATTTATTTATTTATTATGTGTACAGTGTTCTGCCTGCATGTATGTCTGCAGGCCAGAGGAGGGCACCAGATCCTACAAGCTACAGTCTCTGGGCCCCATATCCTGTTTTTGTGAATGAAATAAACACACACACACAAACGCACACACGCACGCACGTCCTTGACAAAGATATTCCTTCACTGGAAGGCAGAATATGAACAAAACATTGTAGTTAGTACATTGTAAAAATCTGTAAATAGTTGCTTTTTTTTCTCTTCCTATCTAACTTCTGAGATTCAGTGGATAGACTTGCCCACCGGTATAAATATATGTCTGCAATGCACCATTTTTAGTTACTAACATATAAAACAAAAACATATGATGTTTTGTCTTTGAAGTCTTCTTAAAAGACTTACTGATCGATTTTTCTCACTTAAGGATCAACCCTTTTTTATTACTTGAGAATTCCCTACATGTGTGTAATGTGCTTTGACCAAACCCACTCTTCCTCTCCCCTCCAATTCAATTTTTCCCTTACCTGCTCCATTTTTCCATACCCAACTTCAAGTGCTCTTTTCTCTCTTTCTTTTTTAAGCCTGCCAAAATCCCTGCATGAATGGAATGGGAGCTCACAAACCCCACCCATCTGAGGCGCTATTGCTGACTGATAACACTAGGGAGAGGCTAACCCATGCTGCAGAGGGTGGTCCTACACCATGCACATGCAGGCAGCTCCAAATGCATGAAGTTATATTGGAATGCAGCCACACCCACCCTGGCCACCATGGGAACCACTGCTCAGGTGAGTGATTGCAATATTTTGGTCCTACAGGCACTTCCTCTCTGACTCTTGAAGAAACCTTCAGATCCCTGACTGGGTTGCGTGGGGACCCAGGGAGCAGGGTATGATGTCACAGTGCTATTCTTTGGCAGGACACCAGAGGTTCCCTGCCCCCTACAGAAGGTCCAACACCTCCACTGTCCTGTCCATCCTGAAGGACAAACATCGATCAGGGTTAAGTTGACAATAAAAGGGCAGGAGCAACAGGGACTCATCAACCAGGCCTCACCTCTGAGTTCAGCGCAGAGCTAGCTGGGAAATGTTCCGGATGTTGACAAAGACCAGTGTGACTCTGGATGCCAGAGCAGCAGGTTGGGTACGGACCATGGGCTCTCACCAGCTGCTGGTGCCACCGCCAGAGGCCCTGAGCAAACCCCTGTCAGTTCCTAAGCGGCTCCTGTTGGGTCCAGGGCCCTCCAACCTGGCTCCACGCGTGTTGGCAGCTGGAGGGCTGAGGATGATCGGCCACATGCAAAAAGAGATGTTTCAGGTAGGCCTTGGTGGCAACAGCCTCTGTTTAGGGGCGGTGATCAGTTGGTGACAGGCAAAGGAAAGTGTCTCACCTGTGTGTCCACTGTCTAGATCATGGATGAGATCAAGCAAGGTATCCAGTATGTGTTCCAGACCAGGAACCCCCTGACACTGGTTGTCAGCGGCTCAGGACACTGCGCCATGGAGACTGCCCTGTTCAACCTCCTAGAGCCTGGGGACTCTTTTCTAGTTGGAGCCAATGGCATCTGGGGAATGCGGGCTGCAGAGATTGCTGAGCGCATTGGTAAGGGAGAGAGTGGTCTATGATATCCTGTTATTACCCGAGCGGCTTCCCGGGGGAATCTAGAAGCTATCTCCAACAGATCAGGCCTGTGCCATCCCTCTGCACACTCCTTCCTGTAGCCCTAACGCCCAGGTGATGCTTCCTCCAGGCAGGCATCCGGGTGTTCTCTCTGCCCCAGCAAATGACAGCAGACTGGCCTTCCAGAGTTAGAATATGATTGTTTCTGGAATTCATGGAAAAAGTGCTGCAGAAGACCCCCACCCTGGTCTGAGCCCCAGAAACTCTCTGGGGGGGGTGCCTCAGGAAGACTGGAATTTTAGAGACTGACTCCCTCCCCAAATCTCATAGCCTTGTTGATGTGTAAAACGTGGACTAGGAACAGTTCTCCCTCCGTAGTCTGAGATGGAAGAGGGCAGGCATGCTCCCAGACGTCCTGGTAGACCCGGCCTCTGCAAATGGCCTGCATGCATCCCAAGTGCATGGCCACAGTGTTGCTGGACGGCCAGAGAGCCCAGCGGGTGGGGAGCTCCCACCAGTTGCTGTTAGGTCATCATCTTCTTTCTTTCCTTCTCTTTTTTAAAATGTGCTTTTGTGTTTTGCCCTCATGTATTTCTGTGTGAGGGTATCAGATCCTCTGGAACTAGAGTTACAGACAGTTGTTAGCTGCCATGTAGATGCTGGGAGTTGAACCCAGGTCCTCTGGAAGAGCAGCCGGTGCTCTTAACCGTTGAGCCATCTCTCCAGCCCCTAGACCATCATTTTCAAAAGTAACCAGAGTAGGACAGGGCTAGAGAGGGCCTTAGGGGGACACCAGGCTTCTCTTTGCCCTTCACCGAGACTTGGGTGGCTCAGGTCCCTCCCCTGCTAGGACCCTGGCAGTGAGCAGGTACATATGTCATGGGACTCAGAGACAAGAAGCAGGGCAGCTGTTTGGTTCCCGGTGTCACCAGACCCACAAGGTGGAGCCCTGCTTCATCTTCTTACTCTTCATTCAGCCTCTGTCAAACAGTGGGAGCTGTCTGTGAACTACACTTGGGTTAGGTGGGACCATACCACCTGAGGTGCTCAAAGTGACCTCTATAGATGCTATCTATGCGCAGAGGCCACCAGGAGCCTCAGGTACCATAGCCTGAGGAGGAGCTTCTCAAAGCCCTGGAGGCCAGGACAGCACTGCATCCATTAGAAAAGCAGCCCCCTTAAAGCGCTTGCTCCAGCCTCCTCTGTGGCACAGCCACCAGGGAGCCAACAGGAATGGGGTGCCCCACCCTGTTTCTTATTCTCTACCCATTCTGCCCCGTCCTCAGGAGCCCGTGTGCACCAGATGGTCAAGGAACCTGGAGAACACTACACGTTGCAGGAGGTAGAAGAGGTACTGGGAACTGAGTCATTTCTGGAAGGGGCGGGCCCTGATGCTGAGGCTTGTGGCCCGCTCTGTCTTAGTGACTAGACCTGGCCATAGGAGAGGAGCCAGTACCTAAGAGCAGGTGGGAAGCCTACCTCTATGTGAAAATGAAATGGAGTCTGAGGTGCAGCCCTATGGGCAGGGCCGGTGCGGCTGCAGGCTGTGTGGACCCAGGGAGGCACAACTTGTAACTAAACTCCAGGTGCCAGCCCCTCCCTGTGGGGTCAGGCCAGTCTCAGCCTACAGTCCGGACAGGATGCTGGCCACTCTTTCTTCCACCCAGGTCCCTCCATCAGTACGCACTGACGGAAAGGGGGTGAGGCCTATCACATTCTTGCTTTCTAAGTTGACCTATTCCATTTGGGAGGGAGCTGAGTGTATGTGGACGATCCTGACCCTGCCCTCACACGCCAATGTCCCTCTGTAAGGGGCTGGCTGATCCAGGCAGAGGTCCCCATCACGTCTGCTCACAGCTGTCACCTCTGTCCCTCAGGGCCTGGCTCGGCACAAACCAGTCCTGCTGTTCCTGACCCACGGGGAGTCATCCACTGGTGTGATGCAACCCCTTGATGGCTTTGGGGAGCTCTGCCACAGGTGAGTCTGAACTGGGGTGGCAGTACCAGGGCAGAGCAAAGCCTGCAACTTGGCTGGACAATGCTGGCAGGGAGCTGCAAGCGCTGACAATGGCAAGGCATCCATCCCAAATGTCCTTTCACCTTTCTTCCTGCCGCTGTCCCACGACATGGGAGGGTTTGCTCCAAGCTGAATGCGTGTGGTCAGCTTTTATTTGCTGAGGATGCAGGGGCTGGAGTAGGACCAAGTACCCTCTAGCCAGATGCCACCACAGTGGTACTGACCTTGGAGACCCAGGGCCAGCATGGGCTGGCGCTGCCCACTGTGTGCATCTCAAAGCCTGCTCTCACCTCACTCAGGGTCCCCAGGCACCAGAGCTGCCCCTTGCCTGCACACCTTCCCCACCCCCACACAGAGGTTTACAGGAGAACTGCTCCAGGACATGGTAGCCCCTCTGGAAGCCAGCAGTATTGTCTGTAGAGTTGACCACAGGACAGAAGAGGACCTCTCCATAGCCACAGAGGGTTACTATGGCAGGGCTACCATGGTCCTCAGGGATGCCGCATTCATATGGGCAGGGTCCTCACTGAAAGAGCCCCTCAGACAGAGCCCTGTTTGCACATGAAACCTAACTAGACAATGGGGCCCAAGCCCTGCCCATGGCTGTGCCTTCACGGTTCTATGAGGAAACCTAGGTAGAAGAGGATTAACATACTCACTTTTACTCGAGCTGGACTCTGGCCTCTAAAGGCTGCGTATCTGTGGCACACGGTCAGGTGTGTAGCTATTGATAGAGGAAGGCCCAGACCTTTGTGCTGCCAGGTTACTGGGGCCCATGCTGGCTCTTGGCACTCACAACCCTGGTTGTTTACTTAGGTTGACCCTTATCTCTCTTTGAGAAGTCCTGCCTCAGAACCATCTGGGTCATGACCCACCCACCCAGGCCCCAGTAGAGATACCTGCCCAACCCTATAGCTGCTTCTGGTTTCAAGAAGCTGCCTCAGGGAGGGGACCCTGTGTAGAAAGTGAGAGGGACCCCCTTCTGCTTCCTAGCTGCCCTTCCAAAGACTTTCAAGCCCCTCCCCCACTCCTACCAGACACCCAGGCCAGGTTGAAATCTGAACTCCCAGGATCCCTCCTGCTTCTCTGTGTTGTCTCAATACCCATGGCTCCTCCAGGTACCAGTGCCTACTCCTGGTGGACTCCGTGGCATCACTGGGTGGGGTTCCCATCTACATGGACCAGCAAGGTAAGATCATGCCTTATACCCATCCCCATATTCCAGGTCACACACACTAGCAAGCCCTGAAGCTACAGGAGGCTCAGGACGACTGTTCCTGGCCCACCACCAGACCATAACTGGGTTTACCACCGTCTCCACAGGCCCTGGCAAAAGAAGTTATGTAGCTTGAAGTTTGCTAGGCAGAGAGTCCACACAGCATGCATGGCAGGGTCTCTGGCATGGGTCCTGGCTGCATCACCTCACGGAAGATAGCAACACAATAAACAAGGGGAAAGGATCACAGGGTGGGATGAGAAGCCAGCGACCAGGAAGGGAAGACTTTTTCATAACAGCCCTTTCCTGAGAACTAGGCAGGGTGGATTCCCGAGGACAGGCAGTGACCCAATCACTTCCCAATAGGCCCGACCTCTTAGAGGCCCCAACCCTTCCATTCCACACCAAGGACCAACTTTTCAACACATAAGCCCTTGGGGGCACGTCACATGTACATCACAGCTCTGGGGCACACAGACTCCAAAGTGAATCGACAGCCTGAGTTTCTGCCAGGCCATCAGATTAGGGTGTGAGCAAGCAGCAGGAGGCAGCTGCTACTCTGGGGGTTCTTGGGAGGGACTCCAGCTGCAGTGGGAGCAGACATGAGGAGGAGAGGTGGGCCCTGTGTATCAGATGCAGCCACTCCAGTGAGCAGGTGTGTGTGTGGGGGGGGATCTTCAAACACCAAGCTGTACTGCCCAGGCCTGGCTGTTCACAGGGTTAGAGAAGCCAAGCTAAGAGGCTTCGGCCTGAGGTTGTTAAGTGTGATGAAACAGTGACAAGATCTGAAAGCAGGGTTCTCCCATACACCTCCTGGTTTCCACATATCAGTGAAATCTTGGTCCCCCAGTCACAGGACATGTCTGGACTGGACAAATACACCTCTTTGATCAATTCCTCTGTGGGATCCCAGCCACCCCCTTTTCCATCCCCTTCTAGGCATCGACGTCTTGTACTCTGGCTCCCAGAAGGTCCTGAATGCCCCACCAGGGATTTCCCTTATCTCCTTCAGTGACAAGGCCAAGTGAGTGATCCACACCTCACCCTGGGGCGTGGATGCAGATGGGTGCAGTTGGCTCTTGGAGAGAGGGAGGGAAAGGCTCCATGTTGAAACCTCTCATGCTCTCCCTGCTGGGATGTCCTGAAAGCCAAGATGTGCTCCAAAGCTGGCTTGTAGTGTAGTGGTAGTGGGTGGGGGGCGAACACATGCCAGGGCCCAGGCTGTGGGCAGGACCAGAGGTTGGCATTCTGGAGGCTCCCACTGTCATGCTAAGGGGTGATTGATCCAATGTGTCTGGATGCTCAGAGCTCAGCACCCACCCTTCAACCCCAGCTCAGCTTCCAGGAGTTGGCACAGAACCTGCCAGAGACAGGCACAAGCCACCATCATCTCAGGCTCCTGGCTTCTAGATCCTAAGCCAGGCCAGTGGGAGTTGGAGGGAGAGACAGGGTCATGGAGAGAGACCTCAGTGGGTACTGACCATCAGCTGCAACCATCCCTTGGGCCCCAACCCAAACAAGTTGATGTTGGTATGGTCAGGCATTCTTCCTGTCTGTAATGTCAGACACCAGTGGTACCATAGGGAAAGAGGGGGCTGAGAGCTGTATAGTAAGAAAGGAAGGTCATCCGCAGAGAGGCGAAGGGTCGGGGAATCCCACCTGGGAAAGCAGTGTGCAACTCAAGCCTGGGCCTCAGTTTCCCCAAGAAATGAGGCAGGACAAACCTGTGGGCAGAAATGAAGAGACTAAGCCTGGTGGAGCAGTGGACTTAGATACCAATGTGACTGTCACATCCATTAAGATCTCAGAGGGTTGGCAGCCTGAACACGCTCACAAGGTCCTGTGAGCACCAGCATAGGCTTTCTGCCCCTGCACCCCTGTGGCACAGGACGGCCCCAAAACCAGGGACAAGTACTCAGATGGGTTTCTCTTGCCCAGACACAAGGTCTACTCTCGGAAGACAAAGCCGGTCTCCTTCTACACAGACATCACATATTTGGCCAAGCTGTGGGGCTGCGAGGGCAAGACCAGAATGTGAGTGTTGGCAGGGCCAGGGATGAGGGTGGTAGGGTGGCTGACCCCTCAACGCCCCCACCCTAGCGCATCCAGCCTCTTATCAGCCTCATCTCATGCCTCTGTGTGGTTGAGCCTCAGTGCTCTAATTGGAGCCTCCATGCTAGCCATTAGATTGAGGCCTCACTTGTCACCTGGCCCAGAGGCTCTGGTCCAATAAACACCACCACTACCATTTCCATAATCCTTGTTCTCCATCAACTTTCTGTACCTGGCTCCGTTATACCCTCCCATTCCAGGCCTCTTGGAAGGTTAACCAAAGATTCCACAGGCCGTCTTGGTCACAATCCCAGGAGGTTTCATATTAAATACAAGACAGGGAGCCAGAATGGTCTCTAGACTAGTGGGTACAAAGTGTCCAGTGCCAGCTTCACAGGAACATGGCGTCTTGGTAGGAAGGGGATCAACTCTGTACTTTCCCCCTTTCCCTTCCCCTACATGCTGCCAGGCCCTATATAGGCCTTCCCTCCCTGGCACCCTGTGACTCAGAAGCAGGAAAGTGTCCCTGGGAAATGGTTGGCTTCTGCCATACAGCCTGAGCTGCTGGGGTGGGACAGTCAGCTCCTGACCCTGTCCCTTCTATGACACTGGACCAGGCTCTTTTTTTGTTTTCCAGAATTCACCATACCACGCCCGTCACCAGCTTATACTGCCTGAGGGAGAGCCTGGCGCTCATTTCAGAGCAGGTAATAGAGGGACTTCAGCCCAGGGAGAAGGGGAGGAGAAGGAAGCCCCTCTGACCTGAGTGTACCTCAGACTGGGTCCTGTGGGGTTCTCCTTTTCCCATGACACCCTCAGGTTGCTCTGGAGAAAGGAGACCGGAGGGTTCAGACACAGCAATGAAGCTGTCTACCAACAGGCCCAGGCTTCCCAGTAGGATGAGCTGTGGAGTAACTGGAAAGATGGCGCTCTTCCCCACAAGGGCCAGGGAAGAAACGGCTTCAATGAGGAGGGTAGAGCGTTAACTGTGGGCGGACTGGGAGGACAGAGCCCAGGACATACAGAGGCACTCTTAACTGACCCTTCAGTTACCGAGCAGAGCACAGGGGAGGCTAAAAGAGGGAGGCTTCCCCCAAATAGAGTGGGGCCTCTGAGAGGTAGGCATGGTGAGAGGGGTCTTAGGGATGGCGTATAAGCAGCCACGGTTGGTAAATCAATGGCTATCCTAGATTGTGTTGTTCTAACAGAAAGCCACAGGCAGAGTGATTTATAGTTGGATTTATTTGGCTGATAGTTTTTGAAAGCTAGAAAATCTAAGTTTAAGGTCAGGGCCTACACTTACTCCATCTTAACATATCTGAGGTATCACATGGGCCAGAGAGCCAGATGGAGCAAGAAAAGGATACTCTGACATTTTTTTTTTTAAAGACAAAATCTCATGTAGCCCAGGCTAGCCTCAAATTTGCTATGTATCTGAGTTCCAGGCTAGCCTTGACTTCCCGATTCTCCTGCATCTGCCTCCCAAGTTCTGGGATTACAAGCATACACCACCATGGCCTGTTACCTTAGGTTTCATGATAAACCTTACCATCAGACCCAAGCCAACACCACTTGTGGCTCCTGAATTGCTAGCCGAGTTAGTTTCCACCCAAGCCTTGGGGTCACACTTGGCCACTCACACTTACAGCACTCACCAGAGTCAAAAAGGGGTTGGCGCCGGGCGTTGGTGGTACACTCCTTTAGTCCTAGTAGAGGCAGGCGGATCTCTATGAGTTCGAGGCCAGCCTGGTCTCCAGAGCGAGTGTCAGGATAGGCTCCAGAGCTACACAGAGAAACCCTGTCTCGAAAAAATAAAAACAAAAACAAGAGAGAGAGAGAGAGAGAGAGAGAGAGAGAGAGAGAGAGAGAGAAGGGTTTTGCACTCTGCAGGTATGTTCCAGGCCAGCTGGGTGTTACTAGGTCAGTGCGTGTATCCAGTGCAAAGTCCAGTCCTAGGAAATGGAGGTGAAGTGTGGCTACAGGCCCAGTTAGTTGTGTAGGTCACCTGACAGAAAAAAACAACCAAAGTCTGGTCACATTCCTCTGGGTTCTGATGTCCCTCATTAGACCACTGCCAGCCACAGAGGCCAGGATGAGCCCCTGGGCTGAGGCTCCCATGTTTGTGTTCTTAGGATCACTCATAAAATTGCTGCATGAGGAATGGGTTGGAGATGTGGTGACCTAAATGTGTGATCTAAATGGCCACCTACACCCTGGCTAGGGCTCTGAACTGGGGGTACATCCCCGTGGAGCATGGGCTAAGACAAGGAGAGGAAGAAGTCACAGGGAGCCACGCCTGGTGGTACCTACCTGTAATCCCAGTACTCTAGAGGTTGATTCAGGATCAAGAGTTTGTGGCTAGCCTGGGCTACATACTGAGCCCCTAAAATGGAAGAAGGAAGAGTATGGGAAAAGAGGAAGCTGAGTGGGCTCTGGAGGCATTTACCCGTGGATCAGTGCGCTATGAAGATGAGCAGCCCTAGCAGCTGGCGGAGAGCAGTTGCTGATGGGCATGATATGGCCTGGAAGTCATTGTGGGGCTAGAGTAGGGAGGACCAGTTACTAGCGGTCATGCCTCACATTTTCTTGAGGCCCAGGGTCAGAATGAATAGGGCCTGACTGATAACACCACACCCATGTAGCCAGCAATCCCAGCCTCCCCCAGTGGCAACCACTGGGTACCCACTGGAGGCTGGTACCCACCTCTCTCCCTCCCAGACACAGAAAATATCCTCTTTCCTCAAGTTGGCCCAGCATAAACCCTCTTGTCTCCTCAGTGTCTGGGGTTCCAGAAGTTGCCCCAGTCCACCTAGACCACGGAGTTTTGTGAGCCCTACCAACTCAAGGAAGGGCTCCCACCCTGCCTGCTGCTCATGGTCACCTTCCCCCCACAGGGCCTGGAGAATTCCTGGCAGCAGCACAGGGAGGCTACAGCGTATCTGCACCAGCGCCTGCAGGAATTGGGCCTGCAGCTCTTTGTGAAGGACCCGGTGAGGAGCCCACAGGAAGGGGGTGTCTGCTGATTGACCCAGGCACTAGTCCAATGGGGAGGGGGATGCTATACTCAATTGGCGAGATCAAGTGCCATGTCACAGTGGAACTTTGAGCCTCCTGAAGCTGGGGGCAACCCCTCTAGGCCCTTGGCAATCTGCCAAGGGAACCCTGCTGTGGCCACCAGGCAAGTGGCAAGTTTCTGGCCCTTCCTTTGGACTCTAAAGACCAGCACAGGTCAAGCAACCTGAGTGTCATCATAGAGGATATGAAAGCCCCTGAAGGATGTGAAGGGTCCCAGCCTATATTGCTGAACCTGGCACTTCTTGCAGGCACTCCGGCTACCCACAGTCACCACCGTGATGGTGCCTGCTGGCTACAACTGGAGGGACATCGTCAGTTATGTGCTGGACCACTTCCACATTGAAATCGCTGGTGGCCTTGGGCCCTCTGAGGAGAAGGTGAGGATGCTTCTGGACCACCAGGGCTTTGTGGTCGGAGGCACTAGAGACCCGACATTGAATCCCCACCTGTGCCGGGTCACTGCAGGGCCCAGAATAGCACCATCACCTCGGGTAGAATATCCTCAGCCTTCTCCACACACTAGGAAGGTCACACGTCAGCTTCACCAGGTCCACTCTGAGTGCCGAGTGACCATCCGGCTACATTCCTCAGCTTTCTCTGTGTTTTGGGTACAGAGGGAAAGCTGGCTCTAGCCCCTGTGCAGCATGCATGAGGCCACTTCCCTCCTGCATACCATATGGATGGTGATCTCATGTGGCAAATGAACCCTACCCTGATGAGCTCCGATTAGGAAAGGGGCTGCAAACAGAGGCTAACATCTGCCTGCTCCATGCCCACCAGGTACTGCGGATTGGCCTGCTGGGCTACAATGCCACCACGGAGAATGTGGACCGCGTGGCCAAGGCCCTGAGAGAGGCCCTGCAACATTGTCCTAAGAACAAGTTGTGAGCATCCTTCCAGCAGACTATGCCCTTCTGAAGGGACTGGGAATATAGCAGGAACCAAAAGACAGTGCAAGGCCACTGTGCTTGGGGACATCAAAGCTGCTGATGCAGCCTGACGAGGCGGGAAGGAGCAGGTGAAGCTGCCCGTCTTCCCACAGCTGGGACCTTGTGAACCCAGGACCGTAATCACCTTCCGAAAACACTGCAATCCACAGGCCACTGGCCTTTGGGAATATTCAATAAAGTGCTGGTTGGGCATCTCCTCTGACTGTGTCAAACTGGGTGGTGAAGAGCCAAGTGGGGCCCTTTAGCTGCCTGCATGGCCTCAGTGGCCCTATGAGGAGAGCCCCTTGTTCTAGAGCCTGCACACAGATCCTTTCCCGGGGCCAGGAATACTGTCTTCCGTTTCCAGATGTCACTCAGTCCCCAAACACACTCTCATAACGCTGTCTTTAAATGAATCTACAAGAACCCCACTCAAAAAGACAGACACCCACAAACACATGACTAGAACCCGAGTTCATGACCCTGAAGGCCCACATCTGATTGTGTGGGCCTCCACTCTGATTGTCATATTCCCCTGAGAGGACCATGAGCCCCAGTTCCCTGCTCTGCTTGCCCCCCAAACCTCACTTCTGGTCCAGTTGTCCAGAACACTCAGACCTGGAACACACTGGGCAGCTATACTCAGAGCCTCCCTCTTACCAAGGCTGGAGAGGCCCCCTCTTACCAAGACTGGAGAGGCCCCTCTTACCAAGACTGGAGAGGCCCCCTCTTACCAAGGCTGGAAAGGCCCCTCTTAACAAGACTGGAGAGGCCCCCTCTTACCAAGACTGGAGAGGCCCCTTACCAAGACTGGAGAGGCCCCCTCTTACCAAGGCTGGAAAGGCCCCCTCTTACCAAGGCGGGAGAGCCCCCCTCTTACCAAGGCTGGAGAGGCCCCTCTTACCAGGTTATTAATAGGAATGCACCTCCTAACAGAGAGTGGTTGACTTGTCTATGTCCACGCCCCTTGTACAACTGGTCACAGTTGTGTTCTGGGGTCACAGTTGTGTTCTGGGGTCACAGTTGTGTTCTGGGGTCACAGTTGTGTTCTGGGGTCACAGTTGTGTTCTGGGGTAGGTTCCTGAGCCAACAGAGGCTGCTGCTCTGTGGCTCCTGGTGACCAGAAGGGACAGTCTTGAGAGAGACACAGACACAGTCACAGCAGAGCTGTGATCGGTGTCACATGGGGTCCTGGAACAGAGCAAGAAGGGGGTTCTCGGAGAGGATTCTGGGTAGTTCAGGGCCCAGAATGCCCAGGGCCATGTGGTCACTTGGACCTGGCCTTTGTCCAGAGAGCAGACCTCTCTTGATTTGATCTCCTGAGAGGCAGAGACTGAGGTACACACGTGCTTTGGCTGAGAACACACCCAGGAATCACCCTGTGGAAACCCCTCCGGCTCTGGTCCAGCAGATCAGCTGTGTCACTACACAGCATACACATCCTCTGATGAAAGCCTGCCCAGCACCTTGGACCTTCCTGCACCCGTGAGCCTGACTGTCCTTGCCTGCATGATCCCCTGAAGAAATTCTGTCCCTTTACCTGCGGGTGATGGGCTAACACCTGATTCATTTTCAGTTTGGGGCTTTGATAAACACAACTGACACAACCTCCAGATCCAAGGCTTCGTGTGACTATGTGCTTTCAGTGATTTTGAGTAAATGACAAGGATTCCAGTTACAGGCTGCCTTCGCTAGGAGATACTGTGCCTAAGAGCTTCGGACTTTCCACATCCTTGCCCAGGGAGCTGGATCCTTTTGTTCTAGCTGCTGTCAAACTAACTGCATTAGAATGTCCCCTCCCTCGGTGGTTGACAATGTCTGTTATCTTTTCATATGCCACTGACACTTGCAAGCCTTCTTTAGAGAAGTGTTGGTTCAAATATTCTGCTCAATATATGAATTTTTCCTCTTTGGGATGCTGGTTTGTAAAAGCCCTTGAGTTCTCTCTCTCTCTCTCTCTCTCTCTCTCTCTCTCTCTGTGTGTGTGTGTGTGTGTGTGTGTGTGTGTGTGTGTGTGTGTGTGTGTGTGCTAGGGTGCACTTGCTATGCAGGTGCATATGAAGGCTGAAGGCCAGAGGTAAACTTTGGAATGTCTTCCACCAGTGTTTTTCCACCTTAGTTTTTGGGACAGGGTCTCTCACTGGACCTAGGTTTGTTGTTCAGCACCTTTCTTCACCTGGTGTTAGGATGACTGGTGTGCACAGCTGTACCCAGCTTTTACACAGGTGCTGGGGATGCACACTTAGGTCCTCATGCTTGCTTGGGGATAGCATTTTATCTATCGAGCCATCTCTCCAGCTCCATAATAGATTTTTTAGAAAATGTATTCTCAACCCAATCCGATTTTGTGTACCAAGGGTTTCTTGCTCTGTGGCTCACCTATTCATTTTCCTACAGATGGCTCCAAAGAGCAGGTCTGTTTAATTTCGGTAAAGTCCTCTGAGTTTTCTTTCTGTGATCTGAGATGTTTGTATCTTATTGCAGAAGTCTTTCCTACTTGGAAGCTGTTATGAATATTCCTGTCTTTTATTTTAAAGTTATAACAGAGGTCTGTTATTTGTTTCATGGTGTGGACATGGGACAAAGTGCATTTTATCCATAGCAGTATCCAGTTGTCCTAACGGTACACTTGTTAAACAAACCTTGGTTTCTCCATTCAATTGACATGCCAACTTGGAAAAGATCATTGACTACGTATTTGTGGATTGGTTTCTGGCATCTGTTCCATTCTGGCTGCTTTTTTGGTCCTAAGTCATCAATCTACCTTATCTCAAAATTTGCAACCACCAGTAAGTCTGAATATGAAGCAATCAAGAGAGAGAGAGAGAGAGTGTGTGTGTGTGTGTGTTTTCTATTCTAAAACCTTTGGAATCTTGGGTTTATTTTGTCTGTTTCTACAGAATAGCTTCTTGGGGATTTTCATTGAAATTTACCAGCTATTGAGTTAAGGACAGTAGGAATCTTAGAAACACCACAAACTAGTTCTAATATTAGAGTTCTTTATAGATTTGTTTGGATTTTAAGTAGGTAGATAATCAAGTTGCCTATGAATGATGACATTTAGACATCTTTCCGAATATGTATACTCTTCACTTTCTTTTAAACCCAATACAAAAAAAAAAAAAAAAACATGGTTAGGAGAATTTCAATCTTAGAGAAAGTGTTTAATGTTTGAATTTTAAAATTCTTATCTATTGAGTGTGTGTGTGTGTGTGTGTGTGTGTGTGTGTGTGTGTGTGTGTGTGTGTGTTCATTTTATGAATGGTGTCAATGGCAGGTTTTCTGTAGTTCCTGTCTACTTCAGTTTGCTGAGTGTGCTGTTGGCATGCATGGCGCGCTCATCCATCCTTTGCTACTGTATGGTATTCTTACGTACTAAGCTTATGATTTAAATATCACTTTCTTCTCCTTTATTTTTGGATAAAGCTTATCTAGAACTAGAGATACTTTCTTTCTCTTATGTGTTTGCTAGAATTCAACAACACAGGACTTAAAGATGGAAACTTTCTTTATGAGAAAAAAAAATTTTCAACTCGTATGAGTCCTTCTGTTCCTCCTTCCCTTCCTCCCTCCCTCCTTCCCTCTCTCCCTCCCTTCCTTCCTCCCTTCCTTCCTCCTTCCCTTCCTTCCTCCCTCCCGCCTTCCCTCCTTCCCTCCCTCCCTTCTCTCCTTCCTTTCTCCTTCCATTTGAGACAGGGTCTCCTTATGTCCCTCAAGTTGGCCTCAAATTCACAATCTTCTTGTCTCAGCTTCCTGAGAGCTGACCAGATGTGGGGCTCTTCAGATGTTATCTTCTTGCATTAGTTTTGATAATTGTGCTATCCATGGCATGTTTGTTTCTCATCAGCTGTTAAATGTGCTAGGATGAAGTAACTCACAGTGTCCCTTTACGGACTTACTGTGTCTATGAAATTTGTGGTGACTTCTCTTTCATCATCCTCTGTATTGGTGACTTACATTTTCTCCTTTTTTCCTGTTCATCAGCCTTGCTGGAAAGTATTGTCTTTATCAGTCTTTCCAACACACCAGTGTTTGCTTGTGTTGCTTTTTCTCTGTTGTCTGTCCTCTGTTAATTTCTACTCCATTATCCTTCTTATTTGACCTCTTTTGGTTTTAATTTACTCATTTTAAATTTTTACATTCTTATCCCCCCCCCCGTTCCGTGTGTGTGTGTGTGTGTGTGTGTGTGTGTGTGTGTGTGTGTTTATACATATGCCACAGTGTGTAAAGGCCAGAGGACAACTGGCAGGAGTTGGTTTTCTCCTTCTACTATGAGGATCCCGGGAATTGAACTCAGGTCAACATATATGGCAGTAGACACTCCGGCCTACTGAGCCTTTTCACTGGCCCTCCTTTGAAATTTTTGATAAATTCTTGATTGACAAGTACTGCTTGTCCATATCTTTGGGGATTATTCTTGGTTTCTTGCTCCCTATGTTGGAAGCTTAAGAGGTTGACTTTGAAGCATAGCTTCTCTTCTAGGTGTTTCAAAGTAGTTTTCTCTCTGAGCACTGTGTCGGCTTCATCGCCAAGCTTTGATGGGCAGTGTTCTCATTATCACACAAGTCAAAATATTTTATGATATTTTTTCCTGGGACTCATTCTTGAAACCATAGAATATTTTGATTTACATTGTATAATTTATAAATATTTGGAGGAAATTCTGAATTTCCACTTCGTTTTCGGTTTTGATTTGTGTTTGTTGAGGTCAGAAAGCATATTGTCTATGGATTTTAGCTCCCTGTAAATGCACTAGACCCTGGTCTTGTTGAGCAGGGTGGCCTTCTCCAGCTCAGGCTGGCTGGTGACAGACTTCTTCTAGTCCTCTGAGTACCTGTTGATTTATTTCCCATTAGGTACTGAGAGTGGGACGTTCGTGTCTCCAAGTGACCACACATCCCCGAGGGTCCTCGTGGATTGTGGAGACTGTTTAACTTCAGTACTTCTGGGCTCAGAAATCACTTTGTATGTCATTTGCAGCCACCTTCTCTTTGTAATTTCCTGTCTTACACCTGTGTGTTTCCCATGGGCCTCTTGTCTCACAATTAAGGGATAATTCTAATGTTTGAGGCTCTATTTCTGGGAGGACCATTCCTGCCTGCTGCCTTCCAGGACTCCAACTCCCCAGGGAAGTCACCAAGGCCAGAATGAGCTGAGAGGGAGGCCTGGTCACCAAGTGTGATGACAGGAAGGTCCAAAACACTGTTCTTTTAACTTATCTGTCCCTCACCCTGTTTGACTGGTCCCAGATACACTGAATCCATTGTCCTCTAGATCCATACTGCACTGCCACCGTCATCATCCACCCCTGCCAACACACATGGGGCCCTGTGGCTGTGGAAATGGGATCACATGGTATCACGGGGCTCATTCGTTACGCATGACACTCCCTTGCTCCAGGGCCTCAGCTCCTACTCTGGGGCTTGCAGGGATCTACATAATATCATTGGCACTATGGTCATACCATGACATAAACTTGCTGTAGAAACCACTTCTGTGCTGGTCCCACTCAGAAGTGATAATTACCCCAGTCACTTAGTTGATGGGACATTCCTAGGTGAGGTGCATATAGTCTTCAAGATCCAAAGAGGTCACCAAGTTCCAAGGCAGGCAGGACAAAGTCCCAGCCTATGTTGGACCTCTGAGCGCCAGGGCTTTGCCTGTGTGGCAGACCTTAAGATGGTACAATGATTCCCCATTTGAATTATAGAATGAGTGCATTTTATAAGCCTACAGGCACATCCAGCTGTGGCCCAAAGACCGCATGGGTCCCAGAATAGCTACGCATGTATCCCAGCTCGTTTGTAGACAATAATGTCATGTTGCAATGTCAAAAGTTGGACACCAGTGTGAGGCACTGAAGAACTTGCCAGCGATCCTTCCTGGCCCTGGTCTGCACAGTATCATCAGCACGGAACCCTTCTGTAGCATGTCTCCCAAGGCCTGCCTCATGCCCAGAGCGGGGGAGGGGGTAGCTTTGGACAGATCTAGAACTTACACTGTCCTCTTCCAAGAAGACACACTGCTTCTAGTCCCCCTTCTAATGGGACCGGAGAGGATGTGGGTCCCTTATTTGTGCCTACAGAGCAAGTTCCAGGGGCCCTGTTATCCTGTTCTACCATAGATCATATGTCTTGCACAGTGTCTTCGTAACAAATCACTATTTGGCAAAGTTTCTGCAACCCCAGCACTCTCCACAGTCCACCTGTTCTTACTGGGGTGGTTGTGGTACACTTTAAGGAGTGCTACAATCTGCTCCTGCACCCTCATGTGGTGCGTTTGGGTAGACTGTTTAAAGGGCAATGGAGTAGGGATGGTTTCAAAATATCCCCTTGAGGACTGATAAGATGGCTGAGTGGGTAGAGTCCTGAGTTCAGTCCCTGGACTGACACATTTAGGAAAAGAAAGGAATCAACTCCTACAGGGTGTTCTCTGACCTCCACACATGAGCCATGACACACACACACACACACACACACACACACACACACACACACACACAAAGTTTTATCTGGGCATGGTGGTGCACACCTTTAATCCCTGCACTCAGGAGAAAGAGACAGACATCTCTAAGAGTCTGAGGATAGCCTGGTCTATTTAGAGAGTTCCAGGCAGGCCAGGGATACATAGTAAGACCCTGTCTAAAACAAAATTTAGTGTCCCCTTGGCCTTTCCTGCACTCACAGCTCTTGTCTCTGTTAAATGTCATCATTGTGATTATATTTATCACCGAGGAAGTGACCAGGATGGGCTTGGGTCTATTTAAGTTCCACTCTTGAGACAACACAGCATTTCCCTTGTGCTGATGATAGCTCAGACCCTGGTCCCACAACCTTCAGGGACCCTGGGCACTTGCTCATTGTGTAGTTACTCTGACACATGCTGTCAGTCCTTGGCAGACACCGGGACACAGGATGACCTGCACACACATGGGACATGGGTTCTCTCCTCAGAGCCTGGAATGCAGTCCACAGTTCTGAAGCCAAGGGGTAAATGTCAGCAAGTGCCAAAGACAATGGAGAAGAGATGTCTCTGAGCCCAGAGGTCCCAGGCTCCAGGGAAGCTGCTTCAAGCTAATGAGATGTGAATCACAGGATTCTAGGAACAGGGGACACTGCTCCAGTGACAGAGAAGTAGGGGGAAGGGGAGCTGTGGAATTCCCTCTTCTGGCTTCAGTTCCTTCTGAACATTTGTCCAGGGGGACAGTCTCTACCTGAGAGTGGAGAAGTTTTGAAATGAAACCATCTTTGCACACAAACCTTTCATAGTCTTAGGAGTCTATATTTGCACTGAGAGATACAGAAAGTGGGGGACCCTCTCCACAGGGTACACTGGGGCATTAATGTGCTCAACACTGAACACACAGTGTTTCAACCCCCCAGGGGTAGTGTGGAGCATAAGCAGAGCAAACACCCACACTGCCTCATGTCTATACCTGTCCCAACTGTCAAATGGATGGATCAATGGGTCCCTGGGAAGCATACGACCAGCCACCTCACTCCTAGTCTGGAACATGGCGGCTGCCTCAAGACCATGGTGCCAGCTACTTGGACTCTCACGGCCGTCCCTTGAACAGGAGTCCTTAGGGACTAAGTCCCCCCACCAGTCACTCCAAGAGATTTCCCTGATCCCCATTCCTTTCCCAGAAGTTCCAGGGAGCTCTGCAGGTTGGTAGAGACGGGGCCTCCCATCCCAGCTCAGCTGCTGTCACTTCCCATGGTCTTGGTCTTCTGGAAGATGTTCTGCATGGCTGAGATTCTGTCCTTATCCTGGATGTTAAAGACCTGGAACTGTAGTGGGCAGGAACAGACGGTCACAGACAGCCAGGCTACACCTGTCTCCAATGTCCTCCCTGACCACCCTATCAGCAAGCATCCACCTGGTCTGTCACCCCTGCAGGTGGACCAGCCTAGGACCAGCCTAGCATTCCTCTTCCAACAGCCCTGCCCCCCATAGTGTATCTCTGACACAGGCATGACCCCGAGGAGGCCCCAATAATTCTGGCTGAAGGCTCCTTCCATGCACATGCTGACCAAGAAATGTCAGGCATGCATTGGAGGCAATATTTGGGGTTGGGTGGTTGAGCTCCTGCCTTTGTAGAGGAGCAATGGGCTCTATAGGTGTGGAAGGGACAGCTGGTAGACACCTCTAGACAGCAGACCAGAGAACATAAGGTCCCAAAGGGTGTGACCATCAGAATGCCAAGTCCAGGAACTGGACCCCAGGAGGACCAGGGAAATTCAAAGCCCCAAAGTAGAGAAGGGTTCTGGGCATTTGCTGTGTGGTTTGGGTTAATTCTGTGGAACACTGAGGGGCAATCTCAGGCACTCTGTCGTGGTTTCCAGAGAACAGTCTTACACCCTTGGGGCCTTTCTTGAGGTTGCATTCTATGTTTCATCTGACCCTCAGCCATCCAGAGGCCTGGCTTTACCCCAGAGGACTGGCTTTACCCCCAAAGGTCTGGTTTTACCCCAGCCATCCTTGAGTTCCTGACCTGGGAGGGAGTGGCCAGGGTTCAGGACCAGGGCTCTAGCCACTCCCTCCTAAAACAGTTGCACCCACCTTATCTAGCAGAAAATCAAAGTAGGCAGTGGTCCAGTAGGTAGGGTCACTGGCGGGTAGCTGCAGGAGTGCCTTGACTCCATTGTCAATGCGTGGTGGACGGCTGTGGCCCAGGTGGGTGACATGGATTCGTAAGGACTCTTCAGGCTGGCTGGCGAAGTGTTCCACACGTTGGTAGATGACGCCGAGGTCCAGGCCACTGTCTTGCAGCAAGTTGTGCTCCGGGTACAGGAAGTGGGGCAGGTGGCTGGTGGCCAGGCAGCAGAGCAGCACCACCAGCAGGCGGTACA